GGAAGAAAGGAGAGATAGAGACCAAACTCTTTGGGTATGGTCTTTTTGCTCGTACCAAAATATTGGGAGGGTGACCCTCTCTACACATACCATCGAAGAGCTTCTTGTACACAGAGCTTCCCTTGACATTGTTCCGGGTTTGATGCCCCACAGGGGCACCCAAACGTAAGTTTTACACTCAAGCCTTCTCTCAAAACTCCGAGAAATTCGTTCCATACGAGGGGCGAAGCTGGGGAAGGGGATAATGATGATGGTACCAGTGACATACATCTATAGCGATCGCGAAGCTCAAGTTCCGGCAGCTTTGTGTGTTGGGCATTTCTCCCATTCGACACGACCACGAGTCCGCGAGACATTAGTATGTATACCGACTCAAAAAATGCCTCATCCGGTTCCATCAGCGAGAACATTGCTAGGTGTTTCCGAATGAGGACATGCTACATGGGTTTCTTCTGGTTCTTTCCGTTGGGTACGTAGAAAGGGTCATGCTTTCAACTGATCTACTTCACAGATATCGGAAAACGGGTCTAAAAAGGTCTAAAAAGACCTCACATGGCATTATGTGTATGTATCATACACCGAAAGGTTGAAAGAAAAGTCCTGTCTTCGCTAACCGGACATTAGTTGATCCATTAACCCAAAAGAATTTTCTATACACGCGCAAGGTGAAACCTTCTCCGGACATCTTCGAGTAACTCGACTTTGGAGCTGTTTGAAGCTAATCACACAGGTGATCCCAAATAAATATCTTGACACGAAGTAGCGTTCAAGGAAGTCTCTCGCAGCTGAACACATATCGATCTTCTATGATTTATATGTGATCCCTGGCTTTAAGAAGCCCTTGGCATAAGGACTTGCAGCCGAGTCCGGGGGTTCCATCAGTACTGAATATCGGTATATTGACTTCTGATCATGTATCACCTGGTTTTGAATTCGTGTGGGGGTCCGGGGAGGCAGTGGGGAGTTGTGTGGGGAAGAGTAAGAAAAGAAGTATAAACACATATTCGTGGGACGTTGATATTCCGCTCCAATCATTGAATCAAACCAAAAAGAAGGAAAGAGAGAAGAGCCAATTTTACTAGCTCTGAGCTGTACCATCTCTGTAAGTATACACTTCCGAGAAGGTTCTATGTGGAACCTTTGCGGACGCACACATACTTACAGATATATAGGTATTTATTGACGCTTCGGTGCGAAAAAAGGTCCAACAGGTGAGATGTAGGAGGCGGGAAGAGAAAACTGAACAGAGTGATCTCTAGGAACAACTTCTTTGATTTCCTTGGAAGTTCCAATGTTCGTTCGACATTCCTCCAGCCAATACGAGCTAGTCAAGGTACCAAGACGTGACTGATGAATTTAGCAAGGTTCCTTCCATCCCAGTCGGGTGTCTTGTGTGTGCATGTGTAGGCCATAAATTTTTTTCGATTGCACGCTAGAGAAGCCTTCGGTACACCTGGGACCTCTCTCGTACTAATCACTATTTGTAAATTAGTCAGGTTGGTAAGTAAGCTAAGAGATGTAGTAAGGAAGCGAGGTATGGATCTGATCGACCACTTCTTTCGAGCGGTTTGGCGGTATATTCAGATAAATTCCCATGAATCGTTTGTGAAGCGTTCAACTGATTCGGCTAACGGTTGTTCTCGGTTGTTTGACCGTGACATGGGATTCTATTCTCCGCGATTCTTGAGAATCCTTGGGGGAAAGGAACGAGGACTCGAAGATCTAACTCCAGAATCTTATTTGTGGTGCCAATTGCAACGTTGTCTAACGAACGCACCCGAGTACATGCACAAAGTTCAGAGCTATTCCGAGCTAAGCTTAGTCCTGTTCTTGGAACACAATTTTTGTACATGAGTTTGGCAGTCGCGTATACATCAAAAGCCGTTCAACACGACACCTTGCCAACATATTGCCGTGGGACTGACAGCCTAGACAGCGCTAGCAAGACCGTGTTACGATTTTCTTCTTGTAAGACTTACGGTAAACTGGATTGTACATGAATACATCGCTACAATCCTTGGAAAGAAAATAGAATTTCTTTTTCACTCGTTGTCCGAGTCTCCAACTATAGATCCAGAATCGAAATCAAATCAAGGGTTTACTGTGTACATATTGATTCATCCAACATACGTTGGTCCCTACTAAGTTCAGCGCTTCACCTTTCTCCCTGAAAAGCCACTCATCGCGGGTTAAATCGGAAATTTAATTTCGGCATTATAGGCCGAACTAACTGTACCTATAACGGCATGTAATACTTTTGCCAAAAGCTTCGGCAAATGTTCCGTCACTGTTCCGAGCTAGCCTCTGTCCACTTTCTTATATATAATGAGTAGGATTTCAGCGCTCAGCTTCAGTGGTCAATACAATCAAAAATGGTAGACTGCAGGAACTTTCTAGGGATTCAAGTGTTTTCTCATACTAAACAATCAAACAACCATTATGGTCACTATGGGTATATAGCCGCTTGTTGCGGGTAAGTAGAAGGAATTATTTGAGCTCCTCACATACTTACATACATACCATACATGCAAATATTATGATTACTCCAACTGTGAGTTAGTGCTATGGCAGTGTGTGTATGTACGTCTGCGCATGCTGTCTCGGCCTGTCTCGTCCTCTCTCTCTATTTCCCTGTGTTTCCAAAAAAAGTAGACGCTGATTGATGGAGAAAGTGACTGGTCTAATAAGCTTTGCTTCTTTCTTCTGTGCTGTCAAAGACTTTGAAAGCGACAATGTCGATTGGGTGGCCTCGAAGAGTTTGGTTCGTGCATTCAGCCAGTCAGCACATTTTCGAAAAGACAGTCGACTTGCAAATACTTGCACTGATATACTTTTTGAGTACGATTTGATTCGAAAGCCGAATGGTTCGGATTGAAACAAAAAGCCCATTATTTCGGAAGGTAAGGGCCTATCTTTCTATAATCCAAGTCATGTAAGCGGGTATAAAGACGAAAAATACAATTCTTTGTTGAGCGTTTCTTCTGCTAGATTTGGGACCTAGATTCCCGGGTTTCCACCGTAATATCCGAGCAAGACAGAACGGAGAAGTTATCTAGGTTCCCCTGGACTGTTCATTCATTCATTTCTGATTATGAAGCATGAAGTTCATCTTTCGTGATATTCTGGGTAAGCAGCCTGAAATAGAACCGGGATTGCAAGGTTTGGAGCAGGCAAGTTTTGAGTTTCATTTCAGCATACAAGCTTTCATATCTCTCAAGAAAAGAAGCTTGCCCGGGCCGTGGCTTTGTTGAATGAACTTTCGAGCTTGACATCAAGGTTTTGAGGAAGAAGGTGATAAGTAAGAAATGTGAAAGTTTGCCACCTGGTTATTAATGAATAACGAAAACGTGCACTCGTGCCAATGCGGTGTTGCGTTGGAACTTCTTGGGGTATGAAGACCGAGATGTAGGTCGAGAACTGGAAATCGGTTCACTGTGGAATGGAACCGGTAATAAGTAGGTTATCGACGGTATGAAGTAAAGAGTTCCGGTCTAGTCTGTATACATACGTATTGACTAAACTTGAACTGAAGAATAGGAAAAGGGGCTGGCTGTTTCAACTCCTCCGTGCTTAGCAGGCAGGTAATGTCACGATAAGGCCCATGGCTTTCGAAATCAGATTGATCATGTCGAAAGAGAGCCCATTCATCGGTGTTAAGCGAGACAAGGAGAATCCAGAAAGGAAAGAACGGTGACGAGAAAGGATCTGCCATCTCTCGCTTAGGAGATGTATGTATGTATATACATACCATGCATAGCATAACTTCGTTTTTATTCATTTCTCGTAAAGAATCTCGAGAGAACGGAGGATCTGGCCTGAAATTCCAGACCGTCGAGGGAAAGAATCGAAAATAATGAGTTGAAGTGGTCCCATAGTCGACACGGGAATACGTTCTTGGTCAGGAGGACTAGATGGGCCGCGTTCTTGAAGGCTTGGAATGCCTAGCGAGGAGTCGTTGATTACGGTAGATAGCACATAAAGGCCGTATAAGAAAAAGAGGGTACCCGGTGTGTAAACCACTGCAACCAACCCACCCTTGCGGTTTGAAAGTAAGCGTTCTCTTGGGGAAGTAGATATTAAACCAGTTCATTCCGCGATCTACTTTCCTTTAGGGGACCAGGTTTTGAGTTGAGTTTTTGTGTCAAACAGTCACCCAACTTTTGGGAGGGAAACTGGTTCGTTGATTGAGGAATTTATCGTGCAGTTAGAATGGCCAGAGTCTCAGGCTGTCTTGGTACCGGTCAGGCCCCAGATGAAGTGTCCGCACTTAACAAGGCAAGGCAGTTGACAAAAATCCCGGTTGTCGATCAGGATATCAACACAATGTGTACTGCTTCTCGGTATACACGTACGACGACCCGTTCATTTTTAGAAATGAACCTCGGAGGTAGGAAGCCAGTGGCAGGGCAATTGACAGGAAAGGGCCGGGTAAAAGACCCTGGCCGAGGGGTTTTGTTGTATACTGATTGACACCCAATGTCACTGGAATTACAAGAAGTGTGGGTTCTTGGTTCTTGAAGAACTTCCAACTTGTGTCTGCTGTTGGCTCACCTCCTTTGCGAGTAAGGAAGTATATGTATCCTTTTTCCAGAAAAGAAGTTTAGCCACGCATTCAATGTGAATGCACAACATTTATAACGTTAACTCCAACTCCAAGTGAGACTCCACCGCCGCCGCCGCCGAAGGGGTGTGGACGAAAGAGTAGATGGGAGTTTAGGTACTTGTGCTTATGGATGAGCAGATGGTGGTTGGAAGAAAAGAAAGACTCTATTGTTGATATCCCATTCATCGGATTCATCGGGCGCCCCAGTTAAGCGCTGAAAGGAAGTACCAGGTAGTCGCGACAGTGTGTAATATGAGTGATCTGCTTCATTACACCTTTTCTAGAGCTTTCCGGATAGGCTAAACTGCCATGTATATTTCTTGGATCCTTCTCATGACTTTCGGCCGAAGATTTAGTCTGCTCTCCTCCCATATTACATCGGGAGGTAACAATCGCTGCCTCGTTGGCGTAGTGGTAGCGCGTTCCACTTGTATATTATGAAGACTATATATCCATGCAATGGAAAGGTCACTCGTTCAATCCGGGTACGAGGCAATGTAAAGTTTCGGCTTGCTCTAACTTTTAGTTGAGCAAACTAACATCGTGATAAGAACGATCATTCCGTTGTGTTAGACCGACGAAGTAGATGGCTACAGATTGGCCGTTCAACCGAATCCTCGTTCAATTGTACACTATCCAATTCCACAATACTTAATTTTATCCAAGGTTCTATGACTCAAGCCAACTGACGATTTCATTACTTACACAGCAAAAGAAAAAGCGGGAAAAAGAAACACATACATATACAGACTAGAAATCCACAAGCAATTGTACTGTCGGGGATTTTCTCGAACAAATAACTAAAGTAAACTGAGGTCTAGATTTGGATTCGAAAGATGGTAGTCTACTGGTCATTGATATCGATATGCATGAACTATAACCAAGGTAACAAAAAAAAAACTCCGGATAACATATCCGACGTAGTAACAAGAGAGCAAGCAAAGTTCATTAAGATGTTGATGGCGATGATCTCTGATCATGATCAGTCGGTATCAAAATGTTGGATGAGGCTCGAGCCTGTATAAATGCAGCTGCTACAGTATCGGATGTATGTTCGGGAACGAAAATATACTGTTTTTCCTTTTTTTTCTTTCCCGTCTGCGACTCTCCTGAACTTGGCCGACTCAACACCTCTCTCTCTTCATCTCTCTCTCACATCGCCTCTTCCTTCCTTTCCTGTCCTTCCTCACTCACTCATTAGCAACCTTCAACTGCCTCCTCCCCCCATAACTCTCCGCCGACACCCCCTCATCATCCTCGTCCTCATCTTCATAATCCACCTTCTATCGAGAACGGATTCGGTATCCCTCCCGCACCTAAGCCTAAACCATACATACTCTCTCTATTATTCCCACCTCCTCCAGCCAGAAGAGCAGCTGCGGCAGCGTTCCCATAAGAAGGTTTACGCCCGTTCCCAGGTCTACTGCTGCTGCTGTCGGCCGCGGCTTGACTATGTCCATTGGCGCTACTATGTCCAGTCGAACTCTTCCTCCCCATGACTTGATAATGCGACGCGTACGATTCACCTGCGGAGGGTCCGTACCCCAACGTCGTAGTCGTAGTCGTGGTATTAGTATTAGAGACAGGAGTAGTCGTAGTAGTAGTAGACGGTGGAGGATGAGGTGAATGAAGCATATACGAAGGAGGAGGTGTAGGTGAAGATACTGGATATCCCGCCGTCATCGCGTCTCGTTCAGCTTCGACAGCGGCGATTTGGGCTTTCGAAGGTAAAGGTCCAGCTTCTCTTTGAGACGCTGTCGACGAGTCTAGAGTCCCCCCCACCAGGTGATGATGATGAAGGACCAAGACCAGCAGCTGAAAGCAAATCGCTGTGGGCTCCTCCTCCTCCGTTGTCGCTGTTATTGTCATAATATGATCCGCTAGTGTTACCAGGCTCAAAACCCCCATAGGGATCGTAGCCTCCGTAGTCGGACTGCGGTCGAGGAGGAGCACCGGGACCAAGACCAGCAGGAGCACCAGTCATACCCATGCCCATGCCCATCTGTTGCGATTGCGGTTGTTGTTGTTGTTGTTGTTGACCTGGCACAAGATACTGCCCCTGTACCTGGTTCTGATACATCCCCGGCCCACCATATCCATAACCTTGATAACCTTGATAACCAGGTCCATAACCAGGTCCATGGCTGTGATTCGAAGAAGACCAAGCACCCGAATACCTGTTAGTCGCGTTTTGATCTTGAACTTGGGACCGAGCTTGAGACTGAGACTGAGAATGGGATCTAGGAATCGCAGCACCAACAACGGCTGCTCCAACGGCTGCTCCTCCTCCAAGCAAAGCAGCACTCGACGCTGAAGCACCTCCATCTGGATATTGACTATACATCGTCGTCGTTGACATCTGGTTTTGAGGACCCTGAGGACCTTGTGGGTAATCGTAATACGCTCCTACACCACCGCCACACCACCCACCTCCTCCTCCTCCGCCAGCACCACCAGTAGAAGCACCCATTGCCGACATCTGATACACCTCTCCAGGCGGACCATGGCTAGCCATCATCGGAGGCTGATTGAACGCTCCAAACGTTCCATGCGAAGACGTGCTTCCTGCACCAGCTGAATAAGGCGTTCCTGGGGTACTAGCACCGTTGTTGTTGTTGTTGCCTCCTGCGCCTACAGCCAGATACGCTGCTGGTCCACCTGGACCTCCAGGAGCACCAGTCCCAGGACCCACGTGGAACTCGTCCTCGTCCTCATCATCCAAAGATATTCCTCATCGCTCCGCTTTTGTTTCTATTCAACCCTCCTCCTCCACCTCCACCTCCACCTAAACCACCTCCACCTAAACCACCACCACCACCGCTTATCGGTTCGTCCAGATACCTCTTGTTCGTTCCCAATCCACCACCACCACCACCACCGCTACCACTACTGAAACCCCAGAGCTGCATCCGCATCGAATCCTCTATCACCAGGAAACCCTCTCGTAGGCCCCCACACTTCGTTCCCATAAGCATCGTCCATGTCCATCTCTTTATTGAGTCTCGAAGATCTCCTACGACGAACGGCATAGGTAACGAGCGAGACGAGAAGGACGAGTCCTACGATTCCTGCGACGGTGAAGGTGGCTATTACAGCTGGGGTGTTGGAGAAGAATCTGTTTGTTGTTTGTTAGTTTGTTTTCAGAAAGGAGAAAGGGAAAGAGATGGGAAAAGGGGAGGTCAGTTCAATTCAAGATTTGAGATGAGATGTAATTGATTTGAAATGATTTTTGGAATTTGTTGATCCCATGGTTAGAACGGAAAGTAGGAAAGAAAGAGATAAATCAGACGAATGAATGAATGGATTGCATTGCATGCATGCATGGTTTGAGGAACGAAAGAAAGGAAGAAGGGAACGAAGGGAACGAAGGAATGAAGGGATTGAGAACCGTAGAATTGAGTAAAAGGACCCGTGCAGTGAATAAAGAAGGGTACGGTTTGAAATTAAGTATAGATGTATGAAAAAAAAAAAAAAGAAGGAACGTAGAAGACAACGAGTCGGAACAGAACAGAACAGAATAGAACGGAAAAACAGAAAACGAGTGACAGGAACGAGAATGAATAAAGAATTGAGCCGCAGTTTGAGTTTTTGACAGATTAAAAACAGAAGGGAAGTGGGGAAAAATAAAATCGATCAGGGTGATTTGATTTGATTTGGGAAGGAGGAAGGGAGGGAGGGGGGGGAGTTAGAAAAAGAAAAGTACAGGTGACAAACAGATTTGACAGTGAAGAGAAGCGTGGTCCTAAACTCGAATTGCCACGGAGAACGAAGTGGACAAGGGAAGAACGGAGATGGAAATGGAATGGAATGGAAGAAGAAGATGGGAAGAGCATGATGAAGGTCCCGAGGAGGGGGTCAAAGAAGCTTTTTTTTTTTGTTTGGCCAAGTGAAGTACTTTGATGTAGGCGCAGTTTGAAAGGGAGAAGGGAACCGTATACCACAAAGTACGAATATTTTAAAGCAAGATGTGGCCATGGCAGGCAGCGAAGAATAAAGAACGAAAGAAGGGTTCGTAAAGGGTATGTATGGAAATGTCACCTGGGTCGGCGAGAAAAAAGGTTTCGAGGAAGAAAATTCGAGTAAAGACTCGATCACAGTCAAGGGATCCCAGAGGCACGAACAAGGTTGCGTAAAAGAAGGGGTACAACACGAGAAACGAAGGGGAAAAAAAAAGGAAATAACAGAAAGAGAGCACAAAAAAAAAACAAAAACTTACGAATTATCCGAGTCCTTACTCGCACCACTCGAGCTTCCCAAGGTCGCCGTTCCCGTTCCCGTCCCCGCGTCGACACCATCGCTCGGAGAAGTAGCAAATGCGGTCCTTGTCACCGTTCCTCCTCCAGTGTTCGTCTGAGCAATAGTATCTGTCAGCGACGTTGGTGTTGTTAGAGGGGTCGTGTTCGTGTCGGTCGTAGTCGGTGGAGTCGATGCAGTGGTAGCGGAGGTTTCCTGTTGAGTAGATGTAGTGTCGGAGGTGGTGCTAGTGTCCGTGGAAGGAGCGGTTGTAGAAGCACTCGGGTCTGCGACGGCAGTGCTGTCAGTGGGGCTCGTAGTGGTACCGGAGTCGGTTGCAGTAGTCGCAGGCGGGTCTGAGGTGGTCTCAGTCGGTTGGGTTGGGGTTATTGGAGCACCGTCCGTAGAGGTGGCCGGAAGGGAAGTTGAGTCGGACGCAGGACTTT